CACAGGGTAAGACCCTTACCTTCGAGGGTAAACACGAAGCTATCACGACTCCCTGAACTACTATCTTGACACACGAATACACATCATAGTGTGTGAACAAAATCAAGCCTTCGCTCGATGAGCTCAGTCTACTTGTTCTCGGTGTAGAACTTGTGCATGAATTCGACGAGACGCTGTACACCCTCCAGAGGCATACCGTTGTATAGACTGGCTCGGAGACCACCAACACTCCTGTGACCAGATAAGGTGACGAGACCGACCTCCTTAGCCTCAGCGAGGAACTTCTTCTTCAAGTCATCATCGTTATCCTTGATTACAAAGGGGACGTTCATACGGGAGCGAACGTTCTTGGCAACAGGAGCGTTGTAGAATCCATTACTCTCCTCAATGGCACCATAAAGAAGACCCGACTTCTTCTCAGCGAGATCATCCCAGTGCTTTAGTCCACCGTGAGCCTTTGTGTACTTGAGATACAAGCCAGTCATGTAGATAGCGTAGCATGCAGGGGTGTTATACATCGAACCAGCCTTAGCCATGGTAGCCCAGTTCATATAGGTGGGAGTGATGGGCATCTCATTACCCAAATACTTCTCATCTACAATTACAACAGTGACACCAGCAGGGCCGAGGTTCTTCTGGGCACCAGCGTAAACAACAGCAAACTTGGAGAAGTCGATAGGCCTCGACATAAAGTTACTACTCATATCGCAGACGAGCGGCTTGTCACCAACTTCAGGAACGTAGTCAAACTCCACACCATTGACAGTCTCGTTCATGCAGTAGTACACGTAGCTAGCATCGGAGCTGAGTTTATCCTTATACTCAGACAGACGAGGGACATGAGTGAACTTCTCGGGCTTAGTGTTAACAACAACGTTCACATCACCGTACTTAGCAGCTTCCTTAGCGGCCTTCTCACTCCATTGACCGGTCACCTACATAAACAACATACTCAGTATAACTCTCCTACGACCGCCAACCTACAATGTAATCAGCCTTCTTTCCCTCACCCATCATATTGAGAGGGATACCAGCAAACTGCAGGGTGGCACCTCCTTG